AGGCCCCTCCCCGATGTGGTTAGAGGCTCTATTGTATCATCTAATAATAGAAGTTGAACTTTAAAATGTGCTCACTACATTCTCAGTGAACCTGATTCTAGCAGTAATTGATTAATCCTTCTGATGATTTTAGCACTTCCTGAAGCTTTTTATTTTTGACTTTATCAAAATAATACATAGTTACATTAATTATATCATTCCTTGGTTTCTCTGTTTTTTCTCCCTTTCTCTGTTTCCTTAACTGTTCTCTCCCTTCCTCCTTCCCTCTCTCTATATATGTATATACATATATACACATATATCTCCATGATATCTCTGTTTATCTCTCTCTCTTTCAAACACACACAGACACACACACATACACACATACATACTTTCCTAAATATATAATTATAATTTCATCAGTCCATATACTGTTACCTGAACAAAAACAACACCAATACACATGATAACATTAAAGGGGAATATGTCACTGACAGACATTGTGTGTCTTTGCTCTGTCTTTTTAGTCAGGTTCCAGCCCTGATTTGCCTTATTATTGTCTTTCTACCATGATCATCTGTCTTCCTACAGGCTCCAATGTAACAGGATGGCCAGCAGATTAAAATTTCTAAACTGTGATAATTAGTGCAACTTCTGCTTTTATTGGTTGATTTATCTTAATAATTTACTTCAATATTGGGAAGTTGTCTAGCACAAATGTTGTACTTTGAGTCTGAAATATACTCAGAAATTCATATACTAATTTAGCCTTTGTTCCCAGCTGATGGTACTGTGAGAAATGATTGGGTGTTTAGAAAGTAAGGTGGACATGAGCCACATTGTTCCATTACACACTTTCTTCATAAGGAGGTTCTGCCTCCCCTGAGACCACAGCAATGGAGCCAGTCCACCCAGGATCCCTGAACTCTCTCAATCAATGAAACAGAGGACATATTTACTTCTTTGAACTGCTGGTCCCAGGTATTTTTTCAAATCTATAGGAAGCTAATTTAGCAAGCTACAGTTGTCTCCAGATACACATCTGTATCAAGAGCTAGATGCAGCTCCATCATCTGTGCCCAGATCCATGACACTGTGCAGATCATCCAGTGTCAGCAAATTAACTGAAAAATTACTTTTCAAAGTCATGAGCAGCCAGCATGTCCCAGATACTGTAGAAAATACTCCAAAGTTCTAGCTCATATGGGCCTACATGTCAGTTAATACTCATGTCACATTGCCACAGACAGAGAAAAAGAAGCAGAAGAACCAACAACTCTAATGGCAGTGTGGAAAGCTGTGGCTTGAACCCAGGCTGTCTGACTGAGGTCCTGGGATTAGCAGTCAGTGCCCCTAGAGAGTTTAATCTCCTCTTGAACTTTAGCCTGATGAAGTGAGGACAGGATCTATGGTTTTCTTCTCCTGGATTCTTCAGCTTACTTTTTACATGCAAACAGCTTTCCTTTGGGAAGCTCATTCACATAGGAAACTAGGTTTCTATTTCTACATAAATTACCAATTTAAAATGGGATTCAGTGACAAGGGAAGATGTCACACTGAGCAAATAATTCATAGGGAAGGGTTTGTTGAACACTGACTATGAACTAGAGGCTATTGACAAAAGAGATCCAACATCCTTCACTTTTACTCTTATGACCATGCTGTGTTCTCCTCTTTGCTGAAACACTTTTCTCCTGCATCATTGTGACAAGTGACAGGCTTGAGTGTTGCTGTCATTATGGTTCTGCTGGGATAAGTTGAATGGTGAGGCTGGAACCTCTGTGCTAGTGCTCTGGGATTTTTGTGGACTCACAGACAAGGACTGACAACAACCTTACCTGTGTGAAGTCAGAAACACTTCCCTTACATAGTCACTGCAGCCTGGGCTCTGGGAATGGGACAGAGAAGGATGGAGAATCACCTCAGCAAAGTTGCTGTGCAGACTCCAGCTGGTCTCTCTAAATCAGCTAAAGCCTGTAATGACTGGATACTTCCATTAGCTATGATCACCCACAACAATGGGTGAAACAGTTAGCTGAGATTCTCATGTCCACTCTGCAAAGCAGATTCCACAGGTGCCAGGATACTAGGTTTAGTTTTCTGTGCTTTTGTCTCAGAAAGGCAGATTCTAGTCCCTCCTGATGATTTCCTTCCTTCTCCCATAGTTGGTTACCTCAAAGTGCAGTTGGCTACAGCTTTAGTTCTTTGTGAGGGATTAGGTGGGTCCTGGGGACATGACATTGACTTTCACATCGCCCATATTTACCATTTTACCTTTAGAGAATTAAATTTATCAAAGTACTTTGTAAATGTCAAAAACATTAGTTCATTTTAGTTTCTATTCATTATGTAATATGCTAATAAGAAATATTGCAGAAGAACGGCTTCTACAAATGTGTCGTGTTTAAGCAAGCCTGCTAGAGAAGCAATCCATTCATACTGTTTCTATACTTTCTGTTTTATTTCTGTTTCAATATTATAGGTCCTGTTGCTTCATAAAAATTTAAGTTACAATTTTGTTTTTAAATACTGTATTAAATCAGTCTACAAAATTTTGAGAGTTGCTACATTTTTCAAATTCTGGACTTGCGTTATCTTAGTACAAAAGCTAATTAGGTCTTTTTAGTCTTTATGGTGTTTTCTAACAAAAATTTTATTGTATAAATTTATTATATAAATTCAGGATTTCCACTTGGAACAAATTATAAGCTTTGACAAAATTATTTATATAATGGGTGTATATAACTATACCAAAATATAAATTACTATATAGGCTCATATAAGCTGAACCATTCCCATTCTTTTTCCCATATTTTATTTTTTAATCAGTAAGTATTCTAAGACTATCCACATGTTTGTTAGATTCAGTATTATTTCATTACACCAGGTTTTAATTTCACAGACTTGCTTTTTGCTTTTGGTTTCAGTTTTCAAGAGGGAAGCAGATTTGCCATAACTGACAGTCTTGTTTGAGACCTAACAGTGACTGTGAAGCCTGAGCCCATCCCTAACCTTTCCTAGCAGATCCAGGTATATGAACTTCCCTAAGGGTATTAATGAGAACTACACGGTAGAATATTAGAGTCACCATTACCAAACAGCTAAGTGGAAACTGGGAGCTCAGGATGCTTTATGAAATTTTAAAATTCATGATACAGACAGAAGTTGTATTGTCTTTTAAACTAGGCCTTTATTCTCTGGGATCCTTTATTTCAACACAAAGGAAGTCCATTAGTATTTCCTCCAGGGCAGGTATCATTGTAATAAACTCAGATTTTTAACTAGAAAGAGCATGTTTACTCCCTAGTGTTGGACCCATAGTTTGCCATGTGTGGAATCCTTGGTTTTACTTAAATCCTGGATGTAGTTTTCTTCTTTTAGAACTGTGAATACACATACTGTCTCATTGACTCCTGGATGTTGACATTTCTGATAAGAGCTGTGTTCACATCATTAGCAGGATGAGATGAGTCATGCTCCAGACTGCTCTCAGCATTCTCTGTTACTCCTCTTTGTCTGTTGGATTCTAGTGTGCACTGGTGTGGGCCTCTCTGAGTTTATCTCACATTGATTTAGTTCAATGTGTTAGATTTATAGTTCTTATATTTTAGCAATCCAGGAAGGTGTTAGACAACAGTTTTTTCCCCAATAATCTTGGCACTACACTCCAAATTCTTCAATTTCTTCTCTTAATTGTACCCCTGAATTGCTGACTGAGTAATGTTACAGGATCCTTTTTCATGATTTGAGATATTTTTTGTAACCTGCTAAATCAATCCTCTGTGGACCCTGCCCATTGGAGTAAGCTATATACATCTCAACTCCTCAATGCCATTTGATTCATTCTCACAGTTTCCCCCCATTTCGTGTTATATTTTGGTATTCAGACTCTTCACTTACTTTAGTGCTTTTACTGACTTTCCTTTTTGCTCTTTTCATATCTCAAATGAATGTTGTACAGTCTTGGTCCATTAACGTAGTATAGTGAGTGCAATACAGTGCACCTACCAGATCATCAACGTCCAGGTAAGAAGGCATCATCAGTGACAGGGTTATGGGAAGACAGGTGACAAGGGAGAGCACAGCCAGGTGACCACACCATGTGCAAGGAAACAACAGGGCAGCCTGGAGGGTGCGGTGCTGTGACCCTGTGACAGTTGCCTTATTACAGTAAATTAGACCTTCTGACCTCCAAAGTGTGAAGTAAAACATTTCTCTTGTGTCAAACCACTAACTTTTTAGGAACCTATTATATCATCATGGGGTTGGAGAGATGGTTCAGGAGTTAAGGCCACTTACTACTCATCCATGGGACCCAGGTTCAATTCTGAGCACCCACATGGTGACATAACTATATATAACTTCAGTTCCAGGGGTTGTGGCACCCTATTCTAGCTTTCTTGTCCACTAGGCATGCGTTTGGTGGTACAGATACATATGGAAGCAAAATACCCACACACATAAAATTAATTAGCTAACTACTGTGATTATAACACATAGTTTTAAGAACTGGTAACTTAAACAGAGGGTTTATTTCGCTAATCAGGCTACATATTATTGCACATTGGGAGCTGCTAACTATGGCCTTATCACTTCCCCTGGTAAAGCAACCCCATCATGAACTGCAGGCCTGACCTAAAGAATCTTGAAATCAAAAGTACACCTCATTAGTTTTATCTATCTCTTACACTCATATCTAACTAGCTTTAAAGAGTCCCATGAATTACACCCAATACTATTACACAAGAAAGGCTCATGCCATGTGCACGGAAGGTAAAAACCAGCAGATACTGGATGAAGCATGAGAATTGCAAAGAGAATTGGGGCTTCAGTCAATTGCCAAGTTCGCAGTGTTGGGGATTCAGTTTCCTCGTGTGTGTTAATTCTTGTGTTCAGAGGCCCAGGTGAGAACTGTGATCACATCATGCTGAGCTCTGGTAAAGTAGCAGTATATGATTATGAACTAGAGGAGCCTCTGGGTTCCCATCAGTATGAGTACTGACTGATGTTTCCTGCAGGAGGAGATAACAGGGAGAACCTGAAGGTGATTCAGCCTGAGAAATCAGTTTCTGTCTTTGCTGGAGCATCAGCCACTCTGAACTGCACTGTGACCTCCCTGTTCCCTGTGGGGCCCGTGAAGTGGTTCAGGGGTACAGGGCAGAGTCGATACCTAATATATAGTTTCACAGGAGAGAAGTTCCCCAGAGTCACATATGTTAAAGATCCCACAAAGAGAAACAACCTGGACTTTTCCATCCGCATCAGTAATGTCACACCTGCTGACTCTGGTACCTACTATTGTGTGAAGATCAACAGAGCAGACTCTGACAATGAGCTTCAGTCTGGGGGAGGCACCTATTTGAATGTACTTGGTAAGTACTACATAGTCCTCATCCCTGATATTTCCAACAGGTTACAATGTGCCCAAGATTCTGTGAGCACCAAGGAACAAGCAAGCCTGTAAGTGACTTTCATGTTCATAGGCTGACTTAACCCCAGCTGTGGACCAAGGAAGCAGAGGAGAGGATATGCTATTTGCTAGAGGTGCCACTTTATAGCAAGAGTTTTTCTCTCCAGGTTCCGCCAAGCCCCAGCAGTCACACATCTCACTTATAAACACACAGACTCTTACATCATTTAAACTATTTGGCCTAATGGCTCAGGCTTCTAGCTATCTAGTTCTTACATCTTAAATTAACCCATTTTTATAAATCTATACCTTGCCATATGGCTCGTGGCTTACCAGTATCTTACATGTTTGTACTTATGGTGGCGGCTGGCAGCATCTCCTCCCCAGCCTTCCTGTTCCCAGAATTCTCTTCTCTGCTTGTCATACCTATACTTCCTGCCTGGCTACTGGCCAATCAGCATTTTATTTATAGAGCAATATCCACAGCATCACTTCTGGTACATGGGGGTTCATCCATACCCTTGTCTTCCCACAATACTTACCTTTCTTAATCTGTGCCAATCTAGTGGCTACATAAAGATAGCTGATGCCATGTTCAGTGACAGGGACAAACCTGGCCTATACCTCCAGAGTGTATTAATTAATTAAGTCTACTCTTTCTGCCAGAAAAACATGGGCACAGTGTATACCAGGTTCCACTCTAGATGTCAAACGAGGTGGCAAGAAGCAGCCTAGCAGGAGCTCTTTTCCCAAGATATGTGTCTCCTCCTCCCAAGAGGAAAAGCACATCAAGGCATAGAGTGACAAGGCCAGAGCACAGTGTGCGTTTGTCATTTTCCTTCATCCACAGCACACTGAGATTCTTTGGTACATGCCCACATTCACTGTGGAATCTCTCACCCTTGGTTTAGATGCTGGCACCAAGCAAGATCTTCATCTTGGGTTTGTCTGGAAACATTTTATTTCTTACTTGCACAGGCACTGAAGGTTCTGGGCAATGTTGGATTATGTCCTGGAGAGTGTCTTCATGTAGATGATGTCCAATCACCAGCAGAGGCATCAGGACATTCACTTTGAAACTTCCTAATAGAGACCTGAAGTCTTATTTCTTGCTCTTGGTTCTGGCATTTTTATAGCATGGACAGCCAGACTATCCAGCCCAACCCTATTTGAGATGTGAGCCCACTTTGCCAGTACTCTGTCCATGATCACATAGCCAGCTGGTGCTGGGATCTGAGATTGAACCCACATCTGACTCCAGGCCAGCTTCTTGCTGCCCCAGCAAGAGATTCCATCTCTACATAGGAGCCTAGTGCACAAGAGATGCTAAGTCAGAATGTCTTGAACTCAGCCAGTATTTCCATTCATCACCAGATCCCAAGGTTTTCAGATGTTCTTCATAGTCAGATGCTAAGAGTAGTGATGGACAAGCTACCGCAACGTCAGCCGTGTTAGAACTGAGAAATGTTCCCCTGTGTAAACAAAGCATCCTAGTGCAGCAGCTAGAGATTCACTAATTCAGATCCCAGATCCTGAATGTTGCATTTGTTTCAATTTGTGCCACTAAAGCAGTGCTACAGTGGATGAACTTGAAGAGCCACAGTCCTGGCAATAAGCACATGCGAATAGTTGTTTTTTACTATTTGGGGTCCTGCCACCCAGCTCCCAAATATAGACACAGAAACTTATTTTTACTCACAAATGCCTGGCCTTAGCTTAGCTTGTTTCTAGCTAGTTTTTCTAACTTAAATTATCCAATTTCTCTTTAACTACACTTTGCCTCTATAACTTTTATTTTTTTCTATATATTTTTCTTTCCTTCTTACTCTAGGGCTGGCTGTATCACTGTGCAGTTGGCCCCTGGTATCTTCCTCTCCTCCTTTTCTCACTTTTCCTTTCTCTTTAGTCTGGATTTTTTCCTTCTATTTATTGTCTCTTCCTCTTAGCCCCCACCTATTTCTCTCTCCTGCTTAGCTATTGACCATTCAGTTCTTTATTAGATCAATCAGATGTTAAAGCAGGCAAAGGAACACAGCTTTACAGAGTTAAACAAATGAAACAAAAGAATGAAACACACATTTGCATCATTAAGCAAATATTCCACAGCATAAATGAATGTAACATATCTTAAACCAATATTCCACAACACATGCCCTCTGGAGGAAGCCTTCAACATTTGAGGGTGAAATAATTATAAGGATGTTACCATTTTCCTATTTGGGTGTGGTATAATCCCAATCCTTCAAAAGAGGGAAACAAGAGGAGTGACTTCGTCCTGACACCACAGGGGGCCTCACACTATATCCTCTCCCTGCTAGCACAGTATGTACACTTGCTAAAATGAAGGAATGAAGTCATATAACATGCTAAGATAAACTGCTGACATGGAGGAAATATTTCATCTTGTGAGCTTTGTTACTCAGAAACCATAAGACCTTGGGTTTTCACTTTCCCTCTCCAAGTCTTAGTTTTCAGTTAAGTGGAGGTGAGTGTTGGTGGCTGTCAACAGGGCTGTTCTTTTCTATTTTGAATAATGTAGTAAACTGAGAGAAACCCTGGATCCATGTTCCTTTATTGGTCTGATATGGGTTTTAGCATCTGAAAAATAGAATGACTCTAGAATGTTCTAATAAACAGCTTTAGTTTAAAATCCCCCAGATACATTTTCTGGAAACTGAACTTGTCTTTTCCAAGGACAATGTTCCAAGGATCATCCTAAATACCAGTAGTGAGGAGCTTCTCTGAATCCCACTAACTTTGTGACTGTACCTACAGATCAGATTCCACATTGAAGAGGAAATAATAATCCTTAAACCCCAATAGTTCATTCTAGATCAAAATATGGGTGGCCATGGCCTAGGAACACAGATATAGGTCACCTCAAAGGCCACTGTGGAAGAACTTTTATGGAATTTTTGTAGAAATAGAACAAAGAAAGTCATAAGTCAAGACATTTTTGCAATACATTGGTAAAAACATGGAAGAGATGGGTTATAACACAGAAGGGAAATCTGGTTGAGGCTTCATGTGCTATCTGATGACATGCTTAGCATCAGGGTTGGTGGAAGCTAGTGGTCTCCTAAGTTAATATATTCTAAAGGAAATCTAATCTTCTGCTTGTACATTCTGAATTACTAACCTAATGGTCAAAAGCTGTTATGTCAACTACAGAGGAAGGCAATGTATGGGTATTAAGAGAGCTGAATATGACCCAAGATAATCTGGCTCTGGACCTTCAACATGTCAAACTCTTCAATTCATTGAATTTCAAAAAGCTAACAACCATCACAAAGGGTTCAGTTTGAAGGTTCAGATTCTCTGTAAGAATTTTTTGTTTATATATAAAAAAGGTGGTGCTATGTGGAATTGAGTATAAAATCTTATCCAATCTCTCTAAAAGGGAAACTTCTTGACCTATCAGCCAGTGGGTAACTTGAAATCTTTTTGCTCTGTCTTCTGCTTCAAAGTATTGAAGCTGGGATAGGGCACAAATTCAAACTCCTCAAGGATTTGAAATACTTGGGAATTCATAAATGGGCCAGGTAAAGATCCCTGATGATAAACTCCTTGTATGCTCTCTAATGGTTCCTCCTACCACTTGATTTCCAGAACTGAAGACATCAGATAATGCTGAGGTCCTTGTAGCTGTGCTCCTTGCACCCAAACTGCTACTGGTAATTGGTGCCATTGCCATCTACATGCACAAGAAGCAGAAGGCCTGACTGTAAGTTAGGAGGGATGTAGGTTGTATTAGTTACTATTCTGTCGATTTGACAACACAACCTGATGAAAACAATTTATAGAAAAAAAAAAGGTTTATTTGGCTATACTGTTCCAGAGTCATATGAGTCCATCAAACCTGAGATGCATGAAGACAGATCAGGGAGCTAAGAGCTCACATCCTTGTGGAGGGCATGAAACAGAGAGAATAAACTTGAAGTGTCACAAGCCTTTTTTAATATGAAAGCTCACTGTAGCATGAATCTTTAAAGTTCTTATTAATAAAACAAAACTGAGCCAGGTATTGGGGTGAACTGGAAGATCAGAGAACCAGAACAAGCCACAGCTACCTCACCTTGCCATATCCTCAGCAGGTCTTGTTTCCTCAGACTGGAGGCCTCTGAGTCCTCATCCAGAATGGGTCTCAGCTGAACTGCTGCTCAAAAGCCTGAATGCTTAACCAGGCCAAATGCTTAACCAGCCAAAATGCTTCTAGTTTCTAGTCCTCACACCTTATATATCTTTCTGCCTTCTACCATCACTCCCTGGGATTAAAGGCTCACTCCCTGGGATTAAAGGCATGTGTCACCATGCCTGGCTGTTTCCAATGTGGCCTTGAACTTAAAGATCCCAGATGGACTTCTGCCTCTAGAATGCTAGGATTAAAGGCTTGAGTGCCAACATTTTCTAGCCTGAGTATCTAGTGGCTTTTCTGTTCTCTGACCCCAGATAAGTTTATTAGGGTCCACAATCTTTTGGGGAACAAAATACCACCACAGATCACCTCCTATGACATACTTTCTCTGGAAAGGCTGCACTACCCAAATCTCTCCAAAGAGTACCACCAACTGGGAACCATGCATTCAAATATCCTAGGATGTAGAGAATATTTCTTATTCAAACCACTAGGGGGTTATCAGTCTCTAGACTAACAAAGAGGGGGCAGAGGCAGTAGGAGGGCCAAGGCATTTGTGAAACAGTTTTACCATCTGTGGTGATGACATGTTGCTGAGGATTCTCAGGAATCTCTTGGAACCCTTTGAGACATCCCAAACTCCCAGGAAGTATGTGTGCCTTTCAGGAAGCTTTCAGTTGAGGATTAACAAAATCATCCAAAGAGGCCTAAAAGAAGTGAAGGACATGGGCCCCAGGGAGGATGTGGTGTATTGGTCACTGGCCCTGTTAAGGTCACCACAGAAAGTAGAAAGCAAGGGTTCATGGGAAATAACAATCTACATTATAGACCAATTTTTAGAAGTTCCAAAGACCTGTATTAAGGAATGTTCCTGCTTTGGTCTCTCTGTGATCATGAAGAAGAGACTCAGAAAGACTATGACTCAGGGACTAGGCTTAGTCCTGGACCAGAGAAGAGCAGTATTCAGACATTGTAGCACTAAGGTACAATGTGTACATTATGAAAGGACTATTGAATGAGAGGAGATTCTCCTTAGCTCTTCCCTTCATTCTGCCATATCAGACCCTGATTATCTGACATCACCTTTTTTATAGGGTCACAGACTACAAGAAGCTGGTGAGAAGCTGTGGAAGATTGCTCCAAATGCCTCCCTTACAAGGACAACTGCAACTCAGAATTCCCTATTGTTCCCCCATAAGCACTGATAGCTCACAGTTCTAATGCTGTAGTTATTGGATAATATTCTTGGGGTTCTTAATCTCCATAATAAAAGTATTTAAGGAAGAACTCAAGTGAAAGTTCAAATATAATCTATCAAGTTATGAGGGAAAGTTTCAAGTTCAGGCAAGTATACAACTCAGCAACCTCACAGAAGAGGAGAATGGAGAAGTAAAGGGAAAACATACTTATGCTATTTAAGAGATGTGGAGGTCAAACACATGGTGAACAAACTTCCACATGGTGAAAAGGTGGCATTTAGAGAAAAGGTAAAGAAGCCTGAATTATCAGGAAAGGTATACTTAGATTCAGCCAGCATCCAAAATCCAAAAGAGAGAGACAGACAGAAAGAAAAAGCAAGTGTTGTTTAGTCTGATCTGGCCACACTGAGGTAGACAGACCCATCTGAACCTCAACATAGCATGTAGGCACTGCACTGGGTAGTGGTGATGGCTTTGCAGCTGGGATCCCACTGTCTCTGATCCCAGGGCAGGGGATGAGCAGATGCAGAATCAATGGCACAGATTTTGGGAGTCATGTAAGCAATCTAGTTTATTTAGCAAAGCGCTGAGGTACTTATGTGGGTGCTGTTTGGTGGGCTTTCCCTCTATGGCTAGTGTGGCCTTTCTTGATTTGTCCTTGGGTCTTACATCAGCAGTTGTCCTCTTGGGGGTCCAGTTTCAGGCTCCTCTGTATCAGGACAGTACTGTACATGTCACAGCTCTTTGTTTGCTTAAGGTGTGGCGGGGTGCTTTTAGCCTTATCTGCCTCAGAGTAGAGAGAATTCTGGGAAGGAAATGTTCAGTATATGAATCAATGGGAAATTTTGTATTGTTTTTTTTTTTTGACACAGGGTCTATGTTATAGCCTTGAGAGTCTGTATATTGCTAAATAGACAAGGCTGACCTTAAGCTCATCAAGATTTGCTTGCCTCTGCCTCCTGAGTCCTGAGATTGAATGTGTGCTACACCCTCATTCCTCTGTAGGAAAATTTATTCCTCCTGTCTCTTTAATGTGGTTTAAGAGGGTCCATTGTCCTTATGATTGACCCTGACCACCTGGAATGTTAGGTCTTCACCCATTCTACAGATTCTGTTCTCTTAACCATGAGTTTTCTTTAATGGGCCATTATACCTACTCTAATATCTTCCTGAAAAGGTAACCCAGTAACCATTTAGGAGTGAGATCAGGATCTGAGCCTCCAAACTTTTGTTTTCTCAGGCCCAAGGCCATTTTGGGCTTCTAGATAAAGAAGAAACTAGTTGTTTCTTTGAGATCTGTTTGCCCTAAACATCTTGTTCACATTCAAACTCTCCTTTTTTTTTAACTTAACACTTGATTGATTCTATGTTAATTTCATCACATCATATGCCCCATTCCTGCTCAATTCCCAGTCGCTCTATATCTACCCCTTCCCCTGCAGCATCACCCCCCAAAAGAAAACTCTGCAAAATATTAATTAAGCACAGGCCCCCTGATCAGTATGGCCCCAGCAGCAGCATCACCCTCAGACACCCACATGGCCTCATCTCATGGCTTTAGGTAGTGGTAGGACCACAGACATCAACTTAGACCCTGGCTGCTCTAGAGCCACAGACCCAGACATGGCTCTTGGCAGCAACCTGGGCCTGGGCAATCATGGCCCTGTGTAGCAGCACAGGCTACTCAGATAGGCATGGCCACCATGGCAGCACAGGACCCAGAGACCAACATGGCCATAGGTTGTAGCCTAGAGCCAGAAATGAATGTGGCCTTTGGTGACAACATGGGCCACACATACCAACACAGACCCTGGCTGTGGTAATACCATAAACCCAGACATGGTCCTTGGCAGCTGCCTGGGCCTGGATGTCACCAAGGTCCCAGATGGAATGGACTTCAGTGGAGTCAGGGGCCAAAGACACCAACACATACCCTGCCTGAAGTAGGGCCACAGATCCAGATATGGCCCTACACCACAGCCTGGGCCTGGATGTCACCATGGTGCTGGGTAGCAGCACAAGTCACTCAGATCAGCATGACCCCAGTGGAAGCATGGTCCTTGGGCACCAAAATGTACAGTCTCCAGACATCCTTGTGGTCTTTGGTGGCAATATGGGTCATGGATGTCAATACAGATACTGGCTGCAGTAGGACCACAGGGCCCAGACATGGTCCTCAGCAGCATCCTGGGCCCCGAGTCACCTGGGTCCATGTACCAGGTGGGCCACCCACACCACCCAGTTCCTCATCACCTTTGATTCTTCACTGTGCCCCTTTTCACAGCACACTGACTGTCCTGCATCTCTTTCTCTCCCATTTCTCCATCAAATATATTCTCATCCAAGTGGTACCTCCTCATTTGGCACAGGTGAGTGTGCCTTCAGCCAGCCCAGACTGTGAGGAGACAGCCTGGGCTGTGAGTGGCTTTTACCCACATGAGTTTCATGGCATCAAATGGGCCTGTAGATGCCTCAGCCAGCCCAGACAGTCAGCCACTTACGCTTATCCCATGGTCTTCATCTGAGGTCTGAAAATTGTTCTGACCTCCTCCTGACAATGTGAAAAGTCCCTTTCTGAGTACACATGGGGATCTGGAATCATTGACACAGGCTGGCCCTCACTGCAACTTTCTGTCTCCTGCATTCCACTATAACCAAACTTCTAACCTCATTGATATTCTCTAATTTGCTACATCCTAATTTTATGAATAAAAATTGCTCTTTTTCCTATTTGACCAAGCATTCTCAGATAGCCTCCATCAAAAAAAAAACTCAAAAATTAAAAATATGCTTTCTGAATTCAATATAGTCTCTGTCACCTTTTTTCTTATCCCTGCTGTTCATGATAGAAATGTTATGAAATTTCAGAGTTTGAGTCATTTTGCTTTATCTTTCTTTACTTAGTCACACAAAATGATGAGTTTAAAATGAGCATGACTATTCTTAAGATGAGAAATGTTTAAAATTTCTTTCTGAAAAGAGGAGAAAGTGCTGATTTGTAGTGTTTGTGACTTTCAATACTATAAATAGTCTTATTAAGGTCAGACTCAAGTAACCAATCATTTAAATTCCAGATACACAGCCATGAAAATTTCTCACAGACTAGGCCAAACTATACCTACTCACTACTACAGTGTGTCTACACTGTGAACATGGCTTACCTCCTCTAAGGTAAGGTAAGGTAAGGTCCCTCACCCTTAGCCACGGGATCAAGGGCAGGATATACAGTGTCTACCAGCTTCTGTTTTAACTACCAGAATGTGTTGTCAAACCAATTAAATTTAGTGACTCCTCTGCTTCTTCCAATATATCTTAACAGTTCACTTTCTCTTTTTTTCTACCTCTGCTTAATGTCACTTTGTCACCAACTTTTCTCACAACACACTCTACAAATGGGCACCAAAGAATAAACACATCTTTGAATTTGCTATGTATCTGGAAATAAGAATATCTTAGTTTCATTCACTGATGATGTGATCAAATACATCAGCAAAACAATTTTAAGGAGGAAAGGTGCAGGTCTCCCAGGGATAATCAAGTGATGGCCAGGTTTGCTGCTGGATCTCTGGATGAAAGTTGGACAAATGAGGATACTTCTAGTGAGAGATTGGAAGAAATCTGTACACATAGATTTTCCTCTGTGAGATATAGTTTTCATAAAAGGTAGATTGCCATTCTAAATGAAACAATTCTACTTGTTGTTAAGCTTTCTAAAATTTTAGTGGTCATCTATTTTATCTTTGAATGTGGACAAAAAGAAACTAATTAATGAAGACACTCAGATGCTTTGTGTGCATTATAAGTGAGATGAGAGGGTTTTCATTGTAAATGTAACACAATCTTGAATCACATGAAGGAGTAACATGGAGAGATTTTCAGGATCAGATTGTCCTGTGGTCATGTTTGTGGGAAGACTGTCTTGATGACATTAGTTGATATGGGAAGATCCATCCCACTATGGGGGTCACCACCCCATACTTGGGTCCTGGAATGTATGAGAAGACTTTAGATAGTAGGCTGAGGTGTGCAGATGTGCATCCATTCTCTCTTTATACATTTGACTATGATATGACAAGCTGTTTCAAATGCCTGCCACCTTGAATTCCCTGCTGTTACAGATTGTAAGTTCGAATAGAGAGATAAAATGAACCTTTTCTCTGCTAAGTTGTTTTTCTCGGGGTATTTTATCACAGCAACAGAATTAACCTGGGACAATAGGTAAAGCGGGTGATTTTATCAACTTGGGTGCACTAGAATTGACAAGTGAATTTTAACAGAGTGAGGTGGAGACATAAATGAATTGCCATTACATGAACAGCAATGAGAAAAAGCAACTTGTGGATGAGAGGGTATGTTTGACTTACATCTCTATATTACAGTTCCTCCTCCATGGAAGTCATGGCAAATATTTAGTGCAAATGCCTAGAACTATAGGAACTGAAGCAAAGGTCAAGAAGAAATGCTGCTTACTGGCTTGCTATCCATCATTTGCTCAGCTAGCTTTCTTATACCAACCAGGAGTGGCACTGCCCACAGAGAGCTGGGCCCTATCACATCAATTATCAATCAAGAAAATGCAACACAGTCTCATCTACAAGCAAATATTGTAAAGACTTTTTCATTTGAGATTCCTTCTTCCCAGATAATACTAGCTTGTGTCAAGTTGATATAAAAGTTATGAACATATCTTGTAAAAACATAGAATTAGCCATTTGATATCATTTATAATAGAAGCTTTGAGTGCTGGTACCATGGCCTCTGACAGTTGCTATTGTTATTTGCTTGTTTATTGATTGGATAACCTTCTAAGTTGCTTACTGAATGTTGTCCTTTCTAAACACACCAGCACTTAACATTCTTTTCCTTTTTTTTTCTGAGACAGGGTTTCTCTGTGTAGCTTTGTGCCTTTCCTGGAACTCGCATTGTAGACCAGGCTGGCCTCCAACTCACAGAAATCTGCCTGCCTCTGCCTCCTGAGTGCTGGGATTAAAGGCATGTGCCACCACCACCACCACCACTGCCACCACCACCTGGCAGCACTTTCTTTCTTGTTCTGTAATATTTGTTAGGAAGCTACAAATCTTTGTGGGACAATAGAGACTTATATCAATTAGGTTGACACAGAACCAGTGCATTTTT